TCAAACTGCACAAGATCGCCCTGATTTAATTTCACGGGTTTTTAATATGAAATTAAAAGCGCTACTTAAAAATATTATCAAAGAATCTGTTTTCGGAAAAGTTTTAGCCTATCTTTATATGATCGAATTTTAAAAACGCGGTCTACCTCATGCCCATGTACTTATTATTCTTGTACATGAGCATAAACCCAAAACAATTGAGAACTACGATTCAATTGTTTCAGCTGAAATTCCTAACAAAGATAATGATCCTATTCTATATGATACAATCAAGCAATTGATGATACATGGCCCTTGTGGTACATTAATGCCAACTTCCCTGTGTATGAAAAACAAAAAATGCTCTAAAGGATACCTGAAACGATTTCAAGAAAGTACTACTATAAATAATGATGGCTATCCTATTTACAGATGAAGAGAAAATAGCATAACTATAGAAGTGCGTGGCTCAACTTTGGATAACAGGTAGGTCATTCTGTATAATCCTTATCTTTCCACTAAATACAATTGTCATATAAATGTGGAAATTTGTTCTTCCATTACTGCTATGAAATATCTTTTTAAGTATATTTATAAAGGTCATGATCGTGCTACTATAGAAATAAGAGGCCAAAACCAAGAATATGAACAGAGACCTAATAAAGATGAAATAAGTATTTACCTAAACCTCGATATGTATCTGCATCTGAAGCTTTATGGCGCTTATTTCACTACCGGCTATATGATAGAAGTCCATTTGTTCTACCCCTTCAAGTTCATCTTCCCGAACAATATAGAGTACTATTTAGAGATGACTCACTTGAGAGTATCTTGCTGAAACTGCTTCTAATGAAACATCAACCCTTACAGTATGGTTCAAAGCCAACTCTGATTATCTGAATGCATGAAAGCTTACATATGAAAACTTTCCATCACAGTAGGTTTTTGATAAACGTGCAAAATTATGGAAACCAAGAAAATGTGGTAGTGTAATTGGGAGAATGTATTTTGTTCATCCTACAGCAGATAAACGTTATTACCTGCACCTTCTACTCAATATAATTCCTGGCGCCACCTCTTTTAATAATATTCGCACTGTAAATGGAATTTTGTATCCAACTTTCAAACAAGCTTGTGTCGCTTTAGAGTTACTTCAAAACAATGATGAATGGGATTGCTGTTTAGCTGAAGCTTCTCAAATTAGATCTGGAGTTCAACTACAAAATTTGTTCACTACTCTTTTTTTGTTTTGTGATCCATTACATCCTGAACAACTTTGGAAGAAGTATATTTATTTTCTTAGTAAAGATATTCATTTTCATACTAACAATAATAGTGAACATTCACTTACTGAAGCTGAGATACACAATCTAGCTTTACTCCACTTACAATCAATTTTACGCAAGCACGGCAAATCACTTGCGGACTTTCCTAATATGCCTATACCAATTACACTCGATGATACTAACTCCCTAATTAGTGAAGAACAAAATTATGATATTGATGAGTTAACACGTATAGTTGAACATGGAATACCTCAATTAAATAAAGACCAACTTACTATTTTCAATAAAATCATCAACGCTGTAGAAAGCCAAAATCCTTCCGTATTCTTCATTAATGGCCCCAGTGGAACAGGAAAAACATTCCTTTATAAGTAAAAAATTTATTTCTTTTTTATTCCTATTTTTTTTTCCTATATTTTAATATATGTATATTATATATATAGTATTTTACTTGCCAAGGTTCGTCTAAGTCATTGTATTGCTCTTGCAGTAGCGTCTTCTGGAATTGCTTCACTCCTTTTGCCAGGTGGCCGTACTGCACATTCTAGATTCAAGATCCCTATTAATTTAACAGAAACTTCTACCTGCTCTATCTCTCATGGTACCGAATTGGCTTTGCTTTTACAGAAAACTCATTTAATCATATGGGATGAAGCACCTATGGCCAATAGATATGCACCTGAAGCCCTTGATAGAACTTTGATAGATCTTATGAAAGCTACCAATCCATCCTTAAACGAAATTCTGTTTGGAGGTAAGATTGTAGTATTTGGTGGTGATTTTCGCCAAATTCTTCCCGTTGTCCCAAAAGGTGGTAGAGAAGATATTGTAGGCTCATGTTTACGACGCTCCTATTTATGGAACTATGTTGAAATTTTATCTTTAAATATAAATATGCGCCTTCGTCATTGTACTAATTCTATTGATACTATTGAACAAGAAAACTTTGCAAAATGGCTCATTGCACTTGGAGAAGGTCGAATTCCTACCATTGGACCAGAACACGATAAAATCCAACTTCCAGAAGATCTTATTTTACCATCTCAACAGTTAAACGATCTTATACAATTTGTCTATCCAGAATTTTCTTCGCATTCTGATTCTCAATATTTAGTTGAACGTGCAATACTTACACCTAAGAACGAATACGTTAATACAGTACTATTAATTCAACTATTATGGCTCAATTCCCTGGAAATTTTACCGACTATCTTAGTGCCGATACGATTGAAAATCATACTGAATCTGAGCATCTGTATCCTATAGAATCCTCATAAGTTAACTTTAAAACCGGGAGCTCCCATTATTTTATTACGCAATATTAGTCCTTTTGACGGTCTTTGTAATGGAACAAGATTAGTATGCCGTTCTTTTCATAGACATATTATAGAAGCTGAAATTCTTACTGGGAAACATTCCGGAAATCGCATTTTCCTTCCTCGCGTTACCCTTTCTCCTTCAACAACTGATTTACCTTTCGCCTTCAAACGCCGCCAATTCCCCATTCAACCTGCTTTCGCCCTAACAATCAACAAGTCTCAAGGCCAAACTTTAAATTACGTTGGCTTATACCTACCAACACCTGTCTTCTCTCATGGCCAATTATACGTTGGCTGTTCCAGAGTTACTTCTCGACATAATTTAAAACTTCTTATTACTAATTCTAATACTCAAAATACTAATCACATTACCATTACTTCTAACATTGTTTATCCCGAAATTTTTCAATAGATTTTTCATGCCTACATTCTTTACCAACTATTGCTACTTTAATTCAAATTATATTTCGATTATAAAATGTAAGTATTTTTATTTTACTCTTATTTTTAAAATTCTATTCTATTAATAACTTAAATCAATCTTATCCCTACTTTTATTATTAATTACCCGATTATTCTATTCCTACTATACATACACCACCTTTTTTTTTACTTAAATATATATCTAACTCAAATTTATATTCGCTTTAATAAATCTTTATATAAATACTACTCACAATTTCTACTAAATTATTCTATTCAATTTACCTACTCTACATTTATACGATTACTTTTAAAATTAGCTTTTTACTTATTACACTATATTATACTACGTAACTATTTATGTTTATTACTATCTATTTTAACTTACTTATTATTTACATGCACCGTTAGCTTACATATCTTAATTTATTATATGTATTTAATTTATGTAACATATTTAATATAAAACTTATAAATATCTACTATCTTATTCAAATAAAGAGCCGATCATATTACTCAACAAGTTTAACGCAAAAATATTGCTTTCTTATAGAAATCAATTATAACTCAAAGCTTCATTTATGAAATCACCTTTCAATTATTAATAAAATAAATTCCTTCTATATTTTACTATAAACTATTCCCCAAACACCCCTTACACATTAACCTTAACATCGCTCACTTTTTTTCTTTACGTATACAAATTATTTTACTTTACACGTTACACGAATTTACCAATTAATACCCTTATACAACACTCTACCAATAAAATAAACGTAACTTATTTATTATTTATACATTATTTATTATTAATACGTTTAAAACCGGAAGCGAAGCGACGGGTTATATACTAGTCAAATTTTAAAAATCCTAACGTAGGTTTTTATCGGTCGTTTCACGTGATGGTGACGTTTAGATCACTCTGTATAAATTATTTTTAAATTGTGTAACAATAATCATGATATAACGATAACAAGTTGCGACAAGATTTTTCATTCCACACTACTGACTATAGTTCTGCATGTCTAGAATGTGTGGCGCAATCACATAATGTTATGGTTAGTGTTATATTGGGGTTAGATTTTTTTAGTACGTACGTACGTACTTTATAGTAAAATCGCCTAAGGAAAACTTTGTTAGAGCAATAAAAGAATATGCAGATTTTGAAAAATCAGCAAAACGAACGTTCGTTTAATTTTCTGATCTGCACTATAAACCTGGCACACATTTTAGATATGCGCTGTATCTCTTGAAAAGATCCGAGTACAACTCAGTGATAATTTAGAAAATTCTTATTGAACGATGTAAATTACCGCCCTATTAAGTTTATTGAATAGTAGCCGGGGTACTTTATTCAGTAGTGGACGGGTAATTAGGGTATTCTTTATCAGTTATAGAGCTTACCAAGAATGTATATAAAAAGTTTTTACTCATTAAAATAAATATCGTTAAACCACTAGCGCCCATAAGTCGCATTTAATTTTCACCTCATTATCGTATAAATTTAGAATTAGATGTGTAATTTAAACCGTCAGCGAAGCGCCGGGTAACACCTAGTTACTTTAAAAATTCGATTGTTTAATTAGTGCAGATCATCTGATTGGTGCATATGTCGAGTTGATTCGGAATTTTTAAGGTTAGGGTGGGGATTTTTAGTATAATTAATCCGTTCTAATATAAGCGGATTCCGAACCTATTATGGTTCCATTCCCACTTACAACATATATATGCGCAAATTTAAATCTATGTACGCTGCGCCTACTGCACTGATCCAATTTACATCACTGCTGCTATATCGAGGTCAAACTGTATTTTACACATGATCTCGTCCTCTGTAACACCAGATGGAATTTTATCAGCTTTTCCAAAAGAGTATACGACCGTAACGACCGTAATCTCTGAAATTTTTATCCGGATTACCCGAAGATTTACCCGTAGTGCAAATAAAAACGGGATACGTTCAGTTTAACTGTCTTATTCCCAAAAATTAAAAATGCCACCAATACTAAGCTCAATCATTAGAGACGAAGTTGAGCACATCGAGGGTGCTTCAAATGCTCAATTATCTGCTATCGATGGAATAGCTAAAGAATTTGATTTAACTGTCGAAAAACTCAGAGAAATTATCAAGTATTTTTGTAATGAAATGGATAAGGGACTTGAAAAGACTGGAATGAATGTTGCGATGATTCCTAGTTTTGGTATATTTTCTGATTGAAAAAATTTTGGTGATAATCATGCGATTTTTTTTGAAAACAATTGTTACAATTAATTTGTTCAAATAAACAATAGTGACTGGTGCTCCAACTGGTAAGGAAGTTGGCACTTTTCTCGCTCTAGATCTTGGAGGCACAAATCTTCGCGTTTGTGAGTTTACTTTTGAAGGAGAAGGAGTTGTAAAATCCAAGCAACATAAATATAGAATAACTGAAGCCCAGAGAACTGGTTCTGGACGTCAATTGTTTGATTTCATAGCAGATTGCGTCGACAAATTCTTGGCTGAATTTGTAACAGATTATTCCGAAAATACTAAAATATTTAAAATGGGTTTCACTTTTTCGTTTCCTGTGGAGCAAACAGCCATCAATAAAGGGACTTTAATAAAATGGACAAAAGGATTTACATGTTCTGATAGTGAAAATAAAGATGTGGTGTTTATGCTTCAGGAAGCATTGAACCGCAAAGGAGTTCCTGCTGTAGTTTCGGCTTTAGTCAATGACACTGTGGGTACCCTTTTATCTCATTCTTACAAAGACCCCAAAACTTTTATTGGAATTATTTATGGAACTGGTACTAATGGTGCATACTATGAGAACATTTCCAAAATTAAAAAATTAAATAAAATTCCAGATGCTTCAGGAAAAATGATTATTAATGTAGAATGGGGTGCTTTTGATAGTGAAGTAATAAATTTCATTTCCAATTTACAACGAATATGAATATAATTACACTTCTATGCTAAGGTAAATTAATATATATCTTTTATTCAGAAAAAAATTATCCCAATCACGATGTTCGACAACAAACTCGATCGTGAATCGAATAATCCGCATTCTCAAATATTTGAAAAAATGATATCTGGAATGTATCTCGGAGAGATAGCACGCAATATCATACTGCATCTCATTGACCGCAGGTTACTTTTCGATGGATATTCTTCAAAAGATCTCAACAGGAACTACTCTTTTGAGACAGAATACATGTCCGTTATCGAGGCTGATGGAAGTCATACGCTAGATGATACCAAAAAAGTTTTAGAAGAGTCATTAAACATTCCTTCCACCACGCTTACCGATCGTCAAATTGTTAAGAGAGTCTGTCAAATTGTTGGTTTACGTGCTGCAAGATTATCGTCTACGACATTGGCTGCTGTTATCATTCACTGTGGCGTGGTGGAATGTGGAGTCAGTGTTGGGATTGATGGTACTTTATTTGAACTTTATCCTCATTTTAGTGCGCGTCTTGAAACTGCTTTACGAGAATTGTTTGGAACGAACTTTGACAAGGTTAAAATTAGTTTGGCTCGTGATGGATCAGGAGTTGGTGCTGGTAAGTATTGTCCTTTATTTATTTATTTATTTATTTATTTTTATTTTATTTTGATTTTATTACTGATATATATATGTTTTAAAATATTATAAAAGCACTAGCGGCTATGTTAGCCACGGAATAGGTGTACACTATGGAACCTAATTCAACTGATATGTTCAAGCAATTAAGGGAAAATTTAAAATTATTATATAAATATCATATTAATAGGATTTATTCTTCTGTTGTATATGTTCCAACGTGTATTAATCTAATTAGCTATTACACGCTAGACTGTGCTGTTATTATTGTATTTAACTTTTTCAGATAAACGTCTATTATAGCTATTATCATAATTCCTGGAACACCTGATAAAAATCGGCCAAATGATTTTCCAGCAGATTCGATTAAGTTTGTGATTTAAGTATGATCGGTACATAGAAGCTATTTTTGTATCACGTATCTGGTATAATACTTATTCTACGGTTAACACCTAACGTAAGTGTTTGGCAATTTTTGAATCGGTAATATTCCTGTATTCAACCAGAGATATACGTATGGTACTAGTCACATAATATTTATACGTATTAGTCACCGGATCCTAAATTATAATTTGAATCAATTATGCCGAAATCACAAACTTAATAGAATCCGCTGAAAAATAATTCGGCTAATTTTTCTTAGGCGTTCCAGGAATTATGATAATACATAGCTGTAAACGCAAACGAGTGTTCCATGAATTATGATAATAACTGCAAAATGGTTTCGGACATTGTCCCGTGACTAGGGATGTTAAAGTCCGGTCCGATCCGACTTGACTGAGTCTTTATTAAAGTTCGGTCCCAAGTCGATTTGGGACTCGACTCCGTATTTCATATGCATCTTTGAACATTTAAATATAGTAGAAAAAGATATGTATTCATGCAAATTTTGCATGCATATAATTTCTTTTACGTAATACTTTTTAGTGCTATATTTAGTATATATGTTGCATGTGAAATGCGGAGTCCCAAGTCGACTTGGGGCCGAACCTTATAAAGATTCGACTTCTTTGGAGTCGACTTAAAAGACCGACTCGGACTGGACTTTAACATCCCTACCCGTGGCTCTTCATTCGGCAATTTCCACCAATCTAATTGTATAGTTCATTACTATCGCTATATCGAAAATTTTTTTAAAGTTTGTCCTGTTAACATTAATGCATTTATCACTGTCGGTTTCGTTTATATCAACATTTTCCATAGGATAGATCCCTATATGGGTAGAATTCTTTAATACTAGTTCTTCATTATCAGTACATATCAGCTATATGGCCGGCGCCATGGAGTTTAGTATTAGCGAAAGATAATCATATCGTATCGTCGTGAAATAACGTCCCGAGAAATTAATTTCGAGACATACAATTTCAAGAGTTGAAAATGCGAACAAATTTTACTTATTAAAAAATCTTCGGCTAAACCAATTCTTAGCTTTAAATTGTGCATCCCGAAATAACGCCTCAGGGCATTATTTAGCGACAGTACGATACACTGTACTTGACTAATGCCATTAATGAAATAAATAAGTAGTAGTGTCTCAAAAAAAAAAAAAAGAAAAAAAAAATTTTAATACTTCTAGTAATAGGAAAACCCGTAATTTATTTACCAAAAGTTTAAATGGATATCATTCAAGATTTACAACATTCGGATGTATTATAATTCTTCCGGATGTTATTAATGATAAACAAGTAAACTAAATAAATATATATATAACTTTTTTTTCGTTTTTTTTTTTCGTCTTTTTTTCCTTTTTTTTTTTTTTTTTTTTTTGTTTATATAAAAATACAAATGAATGAAATTAATAGAATTTCAAAATTATATTGAATGTAATAAAAAGAATGAATTAATGATTGCCTTAATACCCCTAAAGGTATGAAAACGTCTAGAATTTAAAATAATGAAATTGTAAAGAAAGTTATTGTACACATCATGTACGTGTACTTGTGAAAGATTCACTTTCGAGAGGACGAAGGATAAACAGACCATATATAATAATCGGTCAACAACAACGGATAAAATATAGTATAGATGACACTTAATAAATAATTAATTGATTTAAAGTAGGTGTCACCTATACTATATTTTATCCACAACAATTGCTATTGCCACCATTTACATTGATTGGTAGCGAAGATCCCGAGTAATGACCCCCAACTTTGATACCTGTCCCCTATATTAACGAATAAATGGAAAAATCTAATATGAATCATTATTCAATAACATTAAGAATAATATTGCAGACAAACCTCATTTGTGACATCAAAGACGCCTTGCTTGATCTTTTCGTATATGTCCTTAGCAGTATCAACGTATGCCTAATAAATAAATAAATATTTAATATATGGGGTCTTTGCCTTGAAAATCAAATATGGGACATATGATTTACTATGTCCCATAACTTGATTTTCAAGGCAAAGACCCATATAATACATGAATAATTTAAAAGAAAATAGCAACAGTATTTATATTGTCTTACGTCTTCAACGTTTTCTGCAGTTTTTGCTGAAGTTTCCATGAAAAATAAGCCATGCTGCCGCGCAAATGCCTCACCCTCTGCATAAGAAACAACACGTTTAGACTCGAGATCACTTTTGTTCCCAATGAGCATTATGGTTGTATCAGAATTTGAATGTTGACGAGCATCTTCAAGCCAGATGAGAAGATGTTCGAAAGTTTCACGCCTTGAAAAAATAAAATGTGAAATATGATGAATAGAAATTATTCACCACAAAATATGTTCACAACCCTGGCGATCTTATACCTAGTTATATCATAGACTATAGAAGTTTCCTCGAGTTAACACTTGAAATATGAATAATAAAGCAGTTAATTGTAAATACCTAATAAAGCTCCAGCTGCACCCCGATAATAGCTTCTCGTTATACTTCGAAAAGACTCTTGGCCAGCCTAATTATAGTAGATCATTATTATAAAAGGATTCAGTGTTTATCATTAAGACAAAGTAATTTACCGTATCCCAAATTTGGAGTTTAATTTTCTTTCCTTCAACCTATAAATAACGTTAACACAATATTGAATATAAATTTTTAATTTAATAAGTTTCGTATATTTTTTTTTGTAAAAAATCTTACTTCAACAAAACGTGCTCCAAACTCTACTCTACAAATGTTAAATACGAATTAAATGTTATATAATATTTTAGCAATAATAAAATAATTTTTATAAAATTTACCCAATCGTCAAGTCATGAGCTGGTTGGAACCGTTTATCCGTGAATTGTAAAAGTAGGCATGACTAAGCCACAATTGAAAAATTAGTTCATAACTACTTGATCGTTGATCATCGTAAAATTTTCATTCCATTTTAAGTAAACACAATGCCGAAGCTTGACTGCGGAAACGACTTGACAATACGACCAAAAGAGCTCTCTTCCTATTCTATAATAATGTATCCTATCATACCTTTCCGACACCTAAACAAAATAGTGTATATATAAATATATAATATTTTGATTTGAAGGCGTAAAAGGCCGATCTAAATTGAACCGTTTTAATGTACCTGTGTCTCCAATGATAATGTACTTTTTTTCAATATAGGAAATAAGCCGCAAGAAAACAAAAAATGAATAGAGTAAATAACAGAAGGTCAACCAAGTTCTATCCACGATGATGAATTCATCAGTACGAACCTTTATAATGTAATCGTAAGTATAGCTGTTCGACATTGTGTTGTTACGGAGCCAATATCTGAAAAGAATGGGTAAGGTCTGTTAAGCCGTAAAACTGTATTGCTGAGTTATGAGAAGTACGGCAATCGAATTTCAAGGATTGGCAGAGGTGGTTGGAAAAAATAAATCAGTTGTGGACGCAAGGCGATAAAAATATGGTTTTATACTACAAAAAAATAGAGTTAAGCGTGGCTTCGGATTGCGTATGCAGCTTTCTTGAGGGGATAACGATAATATGTCACACTAATAAGGCAATGATGAGTTTCCCATTCCGTTATTTGCCGAATCTGTAGTATATAAGGAACTTCTACTTACTTCTCATTCACATTATTCACCATGTCCCAATGGTTGTCACCAGGTATGCTCGTTCGGAAATTTATACTTTGATGCAAAACTTATAATAAATCCGTAAGAAGGGAACTTTCTCTTGGCAGTTTTTCTTTCTTTTTTCTTCTTTTTCTTTGGGGTTGTTTTTTTTTTTTTCTTTTGGAAAAATTTCAGAACTTTATCGTTTCGAAACTTTATAATTTCTTTTTAAACTGGAATTTGAAACAAACCCATGACAAGAGTACTATTCAGGATGTGAACTTCAAGCTTTAACCTTGTTATACTTCCAACTTTTTGAATACAATCCTTAAACCTGAATTGTTTTTCGCAAGCAGGTCATTTTCCTCCACCACAGCCACCATACTCGACTTTTCAGGGGCCGCCACCTGTCCCTTCCAATCAATATTTGCCTTCATATCAAAGACCCTCTTTACCTCCGCCATCACAAGCACCCTCGTTAGATGACCTATCTTTAGCGTTTGACAATCTTGCAATGGCATTAAGGTTGACAGCAGGTCCTCAAGAAATTGATGATTTTCAAGTAACATTAGGGATGCTCATGCATGACTGTTCACAATCAAACATTCAAGTACTATATATATATTTTTTTTATTTGTAAAATCATTAAACTTCCCATTAGCTTTATCTAATTATTAAAATGATATATAGCGAGGCAAAACTTGGATATTCAACCATTGTTCTTCACCAAGTCATTACGAAGTTTTATTAAGATTTTTAATTGCACTTTCAAGATCTCGGACTATGTTTGAAGATAAATTACACTTGATATATTTGGTTAATGATGTACTATTCCATAGGTAAAAAGAAAAAAATATTATTTACTTTATATAAACATTAACGTTGTAGGATTAATATGTAATTACGTATATTATTATCTATATTTTATCAATATTTTATCACAGTGAGCGTCGTCAAGAACCTTGGATAAAAGAGGCATTGCATCCAAATTTGCTTGCGTTACTTCGTTCTGCTTTCCATTTCATAGATGCTAATGAAAAACAACAAGAAAAAGTTCTTAAAGTAATGTTTATTTTAATTTATAATAAATGATTAAGTTACTTAACGCAAAATTATTCATCTGAATTAGTTACCGTTTAGATTATATCTATATGGGGTGATAAACACTACTTTGATGATATTAAAATTAATGCTCTGAAGTCTGGTGTTATGGTTCCTCCTCCGCCTCCCGGTGGTCCACCAACGGTCACATTTCCCGGGATGGCACCTCCAGGACATCCTGCTTTTGGGCATATTCGTTATCAAAATCCTCAGAATGTTTCACCTTTTTACAATCAGGGTGCACCGCCCCCACCGAATATGTTTCCCGGAGCCCATTCGCCAGCACAGTCAATTATTTCATCAAGTACTCATTTGTCTCCACCAGTTGCTCATGGTCATTTGAGACCTAACTCTGAACCAGCACCACCTGGTATCCCTGGTCAGTTTCCTTCCGGTCCTTCACCACCGGACATGTCAATGCAAGGAATAGGACCAAGGCCTAACGTATCTGTTACACCACCAATACCCGCTGTACCAGAAAAAAAATATTATGAACTACCAGCAGGATTAATGGTACCAGCTGTTTCGGTATGTAATTAGAGTATATTGACATTTGATTAAGTGTTTTATGCTTTCTTAATGCTTTACTTATTATCAGCTCTTTTAGCCTGAGGAACCGCCGTATACACCAATTCATGCTTCTTCTATTAGACTTCCGCCACATCGACTTCCACCAACAACAGAGTTACTTGAAGCAGTAGATAAATTTTATGAAGGAATGAAATTGATAGAGTTAACTAATGAAGAAGATGATGAAAATGCAACTTCAGAAAATAATAGTAATAATAATAATAAGGCTATTCTCGATAAAGATGGTTGGGAGAATGGATTTTTAGATGATTATTACAAAGATTTACAGATTCGCCGTGCAGCAGCAGCAGCAAGAGCAGCA